GGGCAGTGGAGTAGTCTGCCTAAGGCCAATAGGTTGCGTTGTTACAGGATTAGATTTGATTTCCTGTGTTCTGATTGCTGATGTATCTTCAGGAACTGGTTCGTGTACCATAGAAACATTATTAAGGTCCGAAATGGATGAGATACCACCAGTAACAAGTGTGGCTTCTTTTTCCTTATTCCCAGACAACTTGACTTCCTTCCTCTCACCTTCCGCACCTTCACCTTCCTGTATTTTTCCTTCAATGGTGTTTGCCGATATTTCATTACTAGTGCTGATAAGCTCGGGTTGCGAAGACCCAAAATTCTTTGATGACAGTCCAGACGAGCTTAACGGAGGCTCAGCTTCTATTTGCTCCACGTTCGGTGTCCTATTGTCAAGGGCAGGATGCGAGTTAGTGTCGAGTCCCAAACTTTCCTTAGCATGATTAGAAACAGAAACATTGGGTGCTGATGTACCATGGTTTTGCTCATGGTCGACATCTTGACCATCAGCCTTTTCAACTTCTGCAGATTCTGAATCTAGTTTTTTTGGTTCAGTGCTATCATCACTGGTATTCGCATGAGGGACATGTGGCCTCTCCACCTGCTCATCAACTTGATCCTCTTTGAGTTCAGATTGCAGATTAGCTGATTTGTTGTCACACATGTCCTGCTCGTACACAGTACTGGATATAGCATTCAAGCCATTCTTATGCAGAGCATCCCCATTTGAGTCGGACTCTGACTGAAGGTCAGCTCCAGTTTCTTTCACACTACGGCCATCTCCAATTCCTTGTGATGTCTCATGATTCTGTTCTTTCAAAACATTAGCAGCAGCATCTGCATCCGTTATGTGCTCATGATTCGAATAGCTCGAAGACAAGTTCACATGGTCCAACGAACCATTTTCAGGAATAACTGAACCAATATCAACACCTTCTACGATATTGGTATCTTGAGCTTCTACCAACTCATGATAATATGTTTCAACATCAAGCTTCTCTGAGTCGGTCTCCGGTCTACTCGACTCATTAGTTTCCAGATACCTTAGCTTCTCGACAATTGGCTCTCCTACACTCTCTGTGTCCGAACTTTTTGCACCGCCAGAAGTCAAAGCTTCAAGAAAGCTTTTCTTACCTGATATGTTGACCACAGAATTCTCATTTGAACCATCCGAATTCTCTTCGTTCTCGGTTTCACCAGTAGTGCCAGGTGAATCAACAATTCCACTATATTCATTTCTCACATCCTCTTTAGCACTATCATTGCTATCGGCAATACCATCACCCGTGAACCCATTTGTTACATCCACTCCAAATTCTTTCTCACCGTGATTTTCCTCACCCTTCAAAATTTCAGGTTTGACCACAGCATCCTCCGAACTATGAATCGCATCGGGAGCCCCAGTCACATCTTTAACCTCATGAACTTCATGAACTAAATCTGAATCATCCTTATTATTCTCCTTCAAGGTGCCACTTAATTCAGTATTTCCATCTGCCTTAGGGGAATTTTCCTGGCGAACAGCTGTGGGGTCCGCCTCAGCAGCCTCTTCGAATACTTCATCCCCATCAGGTTCCTTTGATGCATCCAAACTCAAGGTCACATCTTCATTCACAGGTTGCTCTACTACTTCACTTGTGGCACCATTGTTTTCACCTACCTTGGCATGCTCAGCGATGCCATTGCCATTTTCCATCCCCGAACA